AATGTACATTTTGGAGAAGACGTCATCCTATTGTTGGTGGGGATGATTAGCCAAATTGAGACCTAATTTTTCATACTCTGGGGGTCATGAAACATCGAAAAAACATTAAAATGGCACAAAAATGGCCAGTCGATATGGAGGAGGATCGCTTAGTGATTCACCTTGTACATATGTAAGCCAAACCTTATTTTAGTTTCTAAAATTTTTTTATTTTTCTAAAAAAAAAAAACATTCTAATTTTCAACTTTTACCGAATCTCGAGCGATAGAATTATTTTTAAACAGATTCAATCCATACAAAATCATATTCATTTCGCTAAATATTTGTCATAAATTCATCATTTTTCACAGAGAATCGACGATTCCAAGACCTATCGATCTATCGAAAATGGGTTTTCCGCATCTTACAGACGCATTTATGAAGCCAAATCATAGAACTTTCCTCCATTTTTTTCTAATATTTAATTTAATCTGATTTTTTTTTTCAAAAATTAAAGAAGTGTTTGTGTTCAACTAAAAAAAACGTAAGGTCGCATTTCCACTCTCATCAATTACCAAAACCGCCCAACTGCATTAATTAATATGTAACCGTAACAACAAACATTTCTATGTCGCTATCACCCTTATTTGTTTAAAACCAAATTAAACCGCACCACACAGCCGAACACACTCAAAAAACCTTTATTAAAAAAAAATTACAATCGAACGCCACCACGAAAAAATCACCACTCACACAATCCAAAACCCCGCCGAATCTTAATTAAAATCCACCGCCCCCAATTTTCCGCTTCTCCGAAACCCATCGCCTCGGATCGATCCCGACCCACATAAAACCGCATCCAGTTTAACTCGCCGCCGTTGTCGAGTTGTAAAAAAGTCCATACACCCCCCGTGGGCCGCCCCCGCCACGACGACACCGGTAATCCCAGAAGCGAGCGAGAGTCGCCGCAGCGACTCGATCGCGCCTCGCTATTTCGGTGCATACGCCGCCTCCGCCGACACCGACCGCACTGACGGCAGGACACGGCACGTTCTACTAGGTCAGGGTCTGTGTGTTCCTATTCTCTGGTCTCCCGCCTCCTCCCGCCCCCCGATTGGAGGACATACACACATCGTACGCGCCGCTATCGAAGGAGGAAGGCCTCGGTCACGGCGTGTCATCACCCCACCACCACGGGCGGCAGACGAACGCTTTCGCTTTTCGGTGGACGCCGTCGTCGGCGATTTGCGGATTTTCGGGAGGGATTGGGTTCGCCGAATCGAACGACGGAATAATGTGATTGACGGGTGACGGCGACGGACGGAGATGGATTGGATTTTTTCGGGGGCTGGGGTGCGTTGGGGGCTGGATTTAGTTAATTATGTCGGGGGAAGTGATGTGTGATTAAATAAATTGAGTCATTACGTGAAAGAGTCCGGAAATAATGAGCTGCTTATGAGGAAAAATTGGTGCAAGCTGAAGTTTGATCTCGTTTTTTCCCATATTTTAACTATACATAGGTTTATAAATATTTAATCGACCGCATTATAATAAACGAACATACCCGAGTGGTTTAAATTTTTTATTTCGTACGAAACGGTCACAGGCACTGGGAATCAATTCGTTTTACTGCCACCCGTAGGCGCCAAAAATTAATTAAATTGCAAAAACATCCAGCCAGGTTCAAAGGGTACCCACTTTCCGAAGGCAAAATTCGTTTTTTTTTACATATAGGATATTAAGTCTTAACTGAGTGATTGCCAATTAACTTCAAAAGACTGCACAGGAAATTGGGCACTTCCAGTTTTTCAACGCGACAACACAAAATTTTCAACTGAAAAATTGCTTTCAAAAGAGCTGGCGAAATTATAACTTTAGAAACCTTTTTTTTTTTACTATAACAATCATTTTACAAAGTTGCACACATTCTTGACACGACTCACTTTACAATCGTCACTAATCCCGCTATTTTTTTTGTGTCATCCAACCCCTAATAATTACGATGAATTTTTGTGGATAGCAGACGTTACCTTCTGAGGTTGTACCTTTCAAATGACTAAAATACGGGTGTCATTAAAAAATTTTCACATCTATAGGCCATCCCCCGAAAATAGTGGTTTTACGACTTTGACTCCTTCCTCCTATCAAACATCACCGCCTTATCTGTGATGATCTTTATGGGAGGTTTGGAAAAGCTAAAATCATAAAACCACAATTTCGTGGATGGCCTGTATGCAACTTTCACAACAAACGAACTGAAAAATTCAAAAAGTCCTAAATCATTAGACCAGGATTACGCTATTAAATTTTGAAATCCTCACGTATCTACTTGGGGAAAACAATTTTTGGTCGACTTTTAGCTGCAATATATTTAATTTGTGTTATTTAACGAATGCAGCCCACGCACAAAGGAGAACATTTAGATAAGCAAAATTACATTTTCGCTCAAGAAATATCCTTCAGAACTTTCCCACTTCTGCACAGTCTGAGAAAGTTTTGTAGTTTTTTTTTGGCACAGCAAAAACTAATTCTCCAATAAATTTATACTAAAAATATACAATTATATTTATCTGTTTTTTTAAATCTTGATTTTCTGTTAATGTATATGCATGGCTAGTTTTATAAAAAATGCAGTTGTAGAATTCTACAATAAAAAAAATCGTTGAATTTTTATTATTATTATTATTATATTTTTAATAAAACAAAAACTCCAACAATGCAACTCATACCGATAAAAACCATTATTTTTTTGTAACAAGCGTATCGCTCGGACTTTTTCTCTTTCAAGTTCTGCAACAATGAACTCGAAATTTTACTACTTCATGTTTATTTAAATCAAACAATGTGTTTTTGTAATAATTGTTAATACATTCTATCGGCTACATCGCATTTGCATCAAACTATGTTAAAACCTACACAAAAAATTCGCATTATTTCTTGCAACAAATAATTTTACTGTTTAAGACGCCACATACAAAAAATATTAATGATAATCAAGTCAGATTCATAAACTGTAAGTACGGAATATGTCGTTTTATAAAATTTAAATACCATTTAGTACGCAAAATTTTGAGATGACGTTATTAACGTTGACGAAGCGATGCAAACGAAAAAGTTTGACAATGAATTCAGTCGGAGTAAATAAATATCTTTCGACTGTATTAATTAATGAATTAATAAAATATGACGAGATCGTTACGCCTTCAAATAACAAAGATCGATAAATAAGCAACAGCTTTTTCTCCTCCATGAGGCAAAACCTCGGCAGCTCCACTTTTTACTCAAACTTTCTAAGAAATATTTTTTAGAATTACGTACACACACCAGGCTTCAAAAAGTTGTCTGACCTGATTTTATTTATCGATTGTCTCAAAAGTACACACATGACAACAACTAAATTTATTACTCCACCGAAGCGAGTACGTTTAAATAACTTTTTAAATTTTTTACGGTAGCGACTCTTCGGAAAATATTTCAGCAACGACAACACTTACTTGAAAACCTATTCAATACTAATAATAAAAACAATACATTCCCAAATAAAAGAAACCGGTAGCGGCTACCCGACGTTCCTGGTTAAAGTACCCTTTTTATCTAAAATGAAAACGGTTCTTCCGTAATTAACTGACAACAGGTACAAGCACGCCGAGTAATTTATCGACGATTATTCAATCATTTTTCTAGTGCAGTGAAACTCGCCAATTAACGCGGACTCAAAACTACGCCAGATCTCGGTATTTCACATCGAAAGCCTCATTGTCTTCACTCCAATCACACAAAAGGAATGGCAGGCCGTAACTCAGTGAAAAATGTGAAATATTCATCACTCGTGTTTATTTATTTAACACGAATCGATCGACACCGGTGAGCACAAACTATCGATATTTTCAAACTTCCACCGTTGTGTATGGGGTGATCGAAAGATATCAAACCCTCACACGCTGTACTTCCACGTCGCGGTTTTTCTATTACGATCAAACACGTACTCCCGACTGAACAAAAGGCTGCTACTTGGAGAAAAAATCAAATATTCATTACTCGTATTTATTTATTTATTTAAAAGCGGTATCGATTCGCGCCACCGAGTGCAGAAGCATTATCGGTTTTTTCTCGATATTTTTCTCTGAATTTATTCCAACTAGTGTAGAATACAAGAATCCTGACAAAAGAATTATTGAGTGGGGCCAGATAATTGTCCCTTCTAATTGAATTAGTGCAGCGGATGGAGCCGCTCTAAAATTTTTGTGCCGGCCGTAATTATGCCGAGCTAATGACGGAATGATATCCACTATAAAGTTTTAATGAAACGACATCGATTGAAATAAAATTTCCACGTCGTGAGTGATGTGGGAATTGTCGGTCCCGACGCCAAAATAAATAGACAAACGCACGACTTTGCTGAATTCGTAAATCTTGAATTCACTGTAAGCCCGAAAGTGAAACCACTTCGCATTATTTTGGAGGTTCGTCATTGAATGTTGCCTGAAAACACAAAGGTTCCATGAATCAGAAGAAGCAGAAAGTCAACGTTCACTACTGGGCGGACTCTACTATACCAATATATATTTTTTTTAAATGTGGATTTCTCAAAATAAGACCTCGTCAAAAGGGGTTAGTTAAATGTATCTTGGATTCGACGTGAGAATAAAGAGGAATATTGTTTAAAAAAATTGTAGAGAAAATTTGTAGAAGTACTAAAATCGTGGTGTAGCAATTTTAATTAATTCCAACCTCAAAGAACGTGAATAATCCTCAGATCGAGGTGGTTTTCCGTCCGTTAAGCTGAAGAGAGCATTAAAAATTCGCGCCGTTAGTCACCTCCTCGACCGGGATTATTGAAATTCCGCGGAGGTCGGAGTTTAGTTCGCGTAGTGGCGGCTTCCTGGGGGAGGGCTCCGTGACCGGTCCGCGCGGGTGGTGCTTGAGCCAACCCTGACCTTGCCGCCTTGGTGCAGTCGGCACGGCGCGGTCGGCGGAGCCGCGTCTGCTCCGCCAGCGCGCCGAGCACATGGTGCACGTACCTTGATCCAGCCGCCTTGGCCCGTCACCAGGGTGTAGAGCAGGTGGAGGTCGACCTCGCGGCCGCCGAGCACGGGGGGCCTGCGGAACGGCGTCCTGAAAGAGGGCGGGGTGAGCGTCGGAGGGCATGGGGGCAGGGACTTACCCGCGCGTCTCGTGGAAGAGCTGCAGGTCCCGGAGGAAGGCGTCGCGCTCCCTGGGGCTGGCGCTGTCGGGGACCCTCGCCATCGCGCCGTCACTCTGCCGTCATGCTCGCCGCCCCCGGGCTGCTCCAACAGTCGACTCCCTGCGCTACGACGTTGCACTCGCTGCCGCAATAATGCGCAGAACCATCGCACAACGCTTTCGACGACGACGTCCCGGGTGCACGGATTGGGGCGATTGCTGCACAGAGACCGATTGAATCGCGATTTTCGGGCGCAACGGCTGCACTGCTAACCCATGATGCCCGACGAGACTGCTGCCAACATGGCCGCCGGTTCACAGTTACTGTAAGGCGCGAACGAGGCCCTCTCCAGCGGCACGCGCGGAGGGATCGAGCCCCACGGAAGCCGCCCAGGGCCGCCGACACGAGCCCACCACTGCGGAACACTCTTACGCGCCCCGGATCGCGGAGGACGCGCTGCGTTCACTAGAAAAAATCGCAAAGTTTTGACAACACAAAATATTAGTTCAAATGCCAAGTGACAGACGGGGCGACATCTGGTCGCTCAATGGGAACCATGGCGGACGGTCGGTAATGCAGGCAGCTGGCGCGCCGCACGCCGGGCGGATTGGGTTTCAATTCGAAACGCCGGGCCCATACAGGGCAGGCCTTCAAGTTTTTCTCGAATTTTAAAACCAATTTGAGTGGAACAGAGAAAAAATAAACTTTTTTGTAGATTTGTCACAATTTGCGCCTTTTTTTTTTACAAAAACTGCATTTAAAATCAACTTTTAAATGAAAACTCAGTACTATTTAGATAGTATTTTTTATTCTATATTGACAAAAACTGACACCTGAAGTGACACTCAGGTATTGCAACTATAATACGTCCATTTTAGTTATAATCTAATAAGTAATAATGCTAATATAAGGACTTTGAGACCTACATACATAGGTGGTCATTCTCTCTTGTCGTCTTGTAACGCTCGTTCTAATAACTGAGACGTCAAGAACGATGTTTGATTAAAACCAATAATGTCCTATATTCTTACTAGTTCCATATTTACAACCTGTAACTTGTTATATTTTATCTGAGTTATAATCACGACTGAGTAATTATACTGGAAAAATGTCATCCTTGAAATTTCTTACATTTTGAACACCCTTGTATGTTTCGTTGCTTGTAATATCGAGTGACTATTAATGATTAAAGTAAATTTTTGAGTTCGCAGTTCTGAATTATTGGCAGCAGTATTAGCATATCAGTTCATGTATGTCAATTTTAACGTGAACGCACCTAAAAACCAATGATAAAATATAAGCTACTGAATTGGTGGCCAAAATTTTAAATATGTTGCGAATTTTACAAAAAAAAAAATACAAACATTAATGGTTACTCATGGGTCACTCAGTACTTTTAACGTCTATTAAAATAAAAGTGCGATTTTCGTACACATTAACTGCTTTTTAGTGTTTGAAAACTAGATGAGAGTTAAAATGACCACAAATATTCGTTCGATATTTTTATTTATACTAGTCATTTACATTTAAACGGACTTTATTTTATTCTAATGTTCTATTTTACTTAGTACGACAGAAAATTCAACTTATTTTTGGTTGGTGGTAACTTTAAGCTAACTTCAGGTCTATCAGCTGTTTCAAAATAGTTTTAGGCGGGATTTTAGTTAAATTAACCATCTCTCATATGATTTAAAGCTTTTTGCCAAAATTTTTCGGGATTATGTCATGTCGATGTAGCAAATTTAAATTTGCTATATTTTAAATTTATCGCCTTTTTAGTGCTACTTGCGAGTGCTACTTATTTGGAGACACTCTGTATACCACGTTACTAAAAGAAAATTCGCACCACAAAATTTAAATTCGAACTTTAACCGGCGTCGTTCGCGCATGCGCATAATGTGTTCGTCACCGTCGACGCATCTGGCGCCATCTACGCTATCCAAAACCTATCAAAACAACGTCAAATCGAAACAAAATTTATATTATTATCACACAATGGACCTGATAAGGATAAACCAAACCACAACAACGTATATCTGTGAGTAATGTGCATAAATAAAACGGTTTATTTTAATGACCAAAACATTGCGATTTCAGAATTGCGAACTGCCGTTTGGCACTTGGGTGCCCCAAGTTCGCAACCGAATCCTTTTGGTGTACTTGTACGAAATACGACGCCCAGGATGCCAAAGCATCGTCGGAAGATTTTGAGAAGAACGGTGCCCATTAAAGTGAACAGAGACATTTTGCAAAGGCAACTTACCTGTGTTCAAAAAGACAAGGAAAATAGTCTTAGCACGATTACAGAAGGGAGTGGGAATGATCCTCTGCTTAGTTATATGGTAAATAGCGGGTTGGTGTTGTTAGAGTGGTGGGTTTATTGTTGTGTGTTGCAGAAAATTGAGGTTAAAGAGGAGCTGGATTCTGACCAACAGCTCGAACTTAGTGAAGAGATAAACATACCATTGAAAATAGAAGAGTTTGAGACTTTAGATTATGACAGGTACAGTTTTCATTGATGTTGGTACACCTAACTTAAAGTGCCTTTTCTAGTATTAATATTAAACAAGAAGAATCACCTGAATCTGAAAGGCACTTAACGCCTGGAACAAGTAATAATGATTTGAATATACTGATAGAGTGGGCTTTAAACCTACAATACGATCACTCAAAACATTGCAAGGGACGCCTCTACCCGTGCAAAGAAATATTCGATAATTTTAGGTGTAAGATAGTCGTTCTGTACTGCACTGTTTGTAAAAAACGGATGTTACACACGCTCAAGGATTGGGCCATGTAATTATATAAATAACACAACTTTAATTTTTCAAAAACCCCGCCTGTCCGCCATGTTGACGATCATCTTTGACATTTCTCCAATGTCAGCAGCGGAACGTCACCACAAAAAATAACTTTTTTAACATTTAAATGGTTTATAAACGCAAGAAGTACCACTACGGTGACACCCACTTGAAGAAAAAGTGGCGAACGAAACGGAGAACTAAAGACTTGGACCAGGTAATTAAATCTAACCTCAAACCACCACGTGCTAATTACGTCATTCCAGATCGACGAAGATCTCAAACCCGAAAATGCCGAACAACTTGTGAACCAAGTAACCGACCACGACAAACCCGGCGCTGCTCAATTCTACTGTGTGCATTGTGCGCGCTACTTCATCGATAACCAGGCTTTGCACGAACACTTTAGGACCAAAGTGCACAAACGAAGACTCAAAGCGCTGGAGGCGGAGCCCTACAGCATCGAGGAGTCCGAACGGGCCGCCGGCTTCGGCAGCTGGAAAGCCCCGCAGAAGCGAAAAATCGAAACCATCGACCCTGACGAGTCAAACAAACGTATAAAAACGGAGTGATGGCGGCAGTGCGCGTTCTTAAAACTGTTATAAAACGTCGGTTTTCGTCCGCTTTGTACATCACGGGCGATAAAGCGCAAAGTAATTACGTTGTTTTGACTCCGCATATTGATTTCGATGAACAGATCAAACGCAAAGACGATTTAGTGAAGAGTATCAAGGCCCGGAAATTAAATATCGATTTGGACAAAATTGAGAAGCGGTGGGCGTTTTTTAAAATGCTTGACGACCACAAGACCGTTCTTGAGGTTACTAGGAACGAAATTAACGTTGTTATCGGCAAGTTGAAGCAGGAGCCCCAGAAAAATGCGGCGGATATTGAAAAGTTGCAACTGCACGTGAAGCTAGTCAAAGACGATTTAAAAAACATCAAGGATTACTCGTACGGGATTGACGAGAACGCGAATTTGGGGGTGCTGAGTTTGCCCAACCTTTTGCATCCTCAAACACCAATCAACAACACGGTGACCTGCCACGAGTTTTTAGACCAACCAAAACGCGTCGATAAAAGTCACGTGGATGTTGCAAAATCGCTGAATTTAATTGTGTATGTGAACCCCACTTGTTGTTTCTTGAAATCAGACGCCGCGCTTTTAGAATTCTCACTGACAAACTACTTTCAAGAGAACTTGTTAAAAATGGGGTTCACTCAATTTTCTAATGCGGATTTTGCACGAAGTGTTGTAGTGGACGGTTGTGGGGATAGAAAAATTTTTACTCTTGAGGGATCAAATGATGAGTTGAATCGTCTACATTTGGTTGGAGGGGGCTCCTTGCATTCGTTTATGGCCTATTTTGCTAAACACTCGCTACAAGCGGCTGCGCTTCCGCTGAAATTTTTTTCATTAGGTCGGAAGTACGTCTCGGGAGATACGGGATCAGATTTGTTTAACTTGAGTCAAAATAGCGTGGCGCGAGTTTTTGTCGCTTTTGAAGATGACCGTCAAATGGACGAAACGTTGCACGCTCTAACGCAACAAATCATTCAGTTGTATGAACCTTTAGGTTACCATTTTAAGTTAGTTTATGTTCCAGCTAGTGATTTAGAGAAAGGGGAAAGTTTGAGGGTTTCTGTTCAAATGTTGTCAAATTTTTTGCAAAAATATGTCGAAGTTGGAAGTTTGGGGGTTTACGACGACTATTTAAGTAAACGCTTGTTGTTCACTTGTATGGTCAACAAGGAGCGAAGATTTCTTAAAATCATATCAGGAGAAGTGTTGAATGTTCAGCGATTCCTAGCTTGTGCTATAGAAAACAACTGTCTTTTGGAAAAACCTCTAATACCTGACGTTTTAAAAAAATATCTGTAATAAAACTTTGACAAAAAATTGTGTTTTAATAATCTAGAGCGCATATTAAAGCCACCCCTCGCTTGATCCAGTGCGATTCCGGTTTTTCGCTCGGAATCTCGATCGCTACGACGTAGTTCGTCGAGTGTCCAGTCGTCGATAAAACTCCGGCTCGTTTCAGTGTCTTGTAAACGGGACTTTCGTAAACCCCTTGCGGTTTAACGTGGTTTTCCTCCGGTACCATCCACACGACTGACATTTCCGTGTACAGTTCTTTGGGGTTGGACTCATCTAGGAGTTCGATTTGAGGATTCCAGCGTGCCCCCTCTAGGAACAAACCCCAGATGCAGCAACCGTCGGCCGGTCGCGTTTGTGGTGCCTTATCTAGAACCTACTCAGATTCAGTTAAACCGAATCTGAAAAAATCTGAAGTACTTTGAACGAGAAATTGATGGTGTCGATGGAGACTACGTATTTTCGGGCGAAGTTCTGTAAAGTGGCGGTGAGGAACGCCTGAGGGAAGTAGAAACCGGAGATCCAGAAGACCGGGGGAATGCCTTGTTGTATCCACTTGATGAGGAAGTCGCATCTGGCGTTCAAATCGGCAACCCACGAACCTACGAAACATTGATGGGACAAGTTTTGTGCCAGTTTTATCGTACCTAGAGGTTTAAGAGAAGGGTAGGCCTTGCTAGCCCATAAGTCGGGCACCAAGTTGCTGTACAAGCTAAGGGACATCTTGTCGAGGGCTTCGGACATGACCACTAGACCTTTGATGGCTTTAAGGAGGTCCTTAAGGGTGCTTTGTATAACAGCAAGGAGTCGATTATAGCGAATAGCTTCTTGTATAAGAACGGTGTTAAGAGACTCTTCGTAGAGTACCGGATATCTAAAGAAACGAACGATTAGATTTGGTGATGGTGTTTCTGAAGACGCACTGTGTTGAAATATCTTCGAGACTGAAAAGTTTGGGTATGTTGGAAAGAATGGAAGACGCGCTACTGGCGATAATTTCTTCTTGACTGGCTGCTGCACCTCCGACTTGCTTTGGTTGTAGTGCTAGCAACGTGGACAAACAAGAGTATGTTTGGGCCTGTGCATATGTAATGTCAGCGTTCGGGTGCATTCCAAATAAGTCTGGATCGTCATTGATTGGAAAGGTTTTAATATAATCCAAATATTCGTAATAAGTTGACTCGGCGGGCAACTAGAACAGGCAAAATTAGATCAATTATTGGCTCAATATCTGCTCTTAATTAACTTGCCACAAAGCATACTTACTTGATGATAAAGCCCCAAAACATCAAAGACGTATCCAGGATCCACCACTTCCGGCTTGTAATAATCGGCTAAAATATTCATCAAGCATCTCCGATCCCAGTCATCCGTCACCCTCCCCCCGTAATTAATATGCCCCGCCGTGTACGTCAGAACTTTAAACGGGATTTCCGAATACTCCCACAGGAACATCTTCAACTGCGAAATACATATCTTCAAATCCCCGTCCGTATACTCATACGGTATATTAAAACCCAACGGGCCGAACTTCCTCCTCTCCAGCAACACCCCGTGAAACAAAGTCAGTGAGAACAGCAGCCACTTAAACGTAAAATTCTTGTCCCCTTCCCCGTGCAGCACCTCCAACAAATCCGACACCTGATTCGTGAAAGCTCGCAGAATATTCGCCTTGATTCCTCTCGGCGGCTCGATCGTCATCTTGCTCCCATTCTGGAGTATAGACACCGGGAAGAAGGGCGACGGCGTCGACGTCAACCAAATCCGGAAGTCCCTGTGGACGATCTCGGGCGATATGTTCTCGACGAGGCGCTCCAGCCGCGGCATCCAACTAGGCGCCAAGTGGCAGTTCTGGAAGAAAATCCACGAACCGAGCTCGGTCCCGTTGTGGAGCATCTTCTCGGCGATGGGTCCCTGTCCCTGACCCAGCGATATCGAGAACATGCGTTTGCCGAACTTCATCTTGTCGGCAAACTTGTAGAGGTCGGCGGCGGGGTCCGTCCCGGTCGACAACACGAAGATAAGAGGGGTAGTGGGGCCGGAATCCTTGAAGACGACGGCGAGGTCGGCGGTTTGGGGCTCGATGAAACGCTGGCCCATTTGGGCGGAAATATAATCCTGCATAGCGTTTGTTACCTTGTCGGCGCGGAGGCACTTCAAGACCATGATTTTCTGGAAGCTGGAGAATTTCTCGTCGAACGGCGAGGGGAGCTCCTCTCTAAACAAATGCGAACTAATTTAGGAATTTTCTGTCTCATTATAAATGAGAGAAATGGTACCTGTGGGGTTCCTGCGAGTCGAAGATCTCGCGATAATCCTCTTCGTAATCGGCGAACGTCTCGACGAAAGGGGCGAACTTAGGAAGGGTTTCCATGGCTAGAATTTCTTTCCAGGCTTTAGCAGATAGCCAGCCGGAGGCGGGATTGGGTTCGTCCTACAATAACATTACAGCTAGTGGTGTGCAGATATTAAAAATTGTACAGATATTGGGTTCCCTCCGGCTAGAAAATGATGCCATTCGTGGGCATCAATCCTCCCCTCGTCCATTAATATCCTGACGCACATCAAAAACGCAAACTGAAGTTTGTGCTTTTCGAATAAACTCCGGCAGACGTTGCTGTATAAGCTGAACGTGAAGTGTTCATTAATTATCTCAACTCTTTCATCGATATTCTCTGAAAATGGGCAGATGCATGTGGAGTTAATCAAACCGTCGTCTGATTATAAACTGAAACAGCGGATATTCATTTGCAGAGGACGTGCAGGGGCGTATTTACGCTTATCTTTTAATATCGAAAGGGATTTTTTTTAATAATTCATTGGTCGCATCTGGGTGTATCGTATCGTACGATTAATAAAAAATGATCTTGCTTTCGATGTAAAGAGATATATGTATACCTATAGTATTTCCAAAGAGCTATTGAAAATAAAAACAGGAACAAGTAGTATGAGTTCATAAAAAATTTAAAATAAAAAAATATTCAAAAACATGTAAACAGGAAATCAAAACGTATGAAATCGGGATCTAACTCGACGTCATAAATACGCCCTTGTCCCTATAGATTTCGATTAGTTATCCAACACCCACCCGATCGTTCCGTCTCGGCCATGCTCCCCGTAAAAATGCTAACAAACCATTCCAGCGAATATTGATACATGGGGTCGACGTTTGATAAATCGGACAAACAGAAAAACAATATTTGCGCCCTGTTTGCCACCGGAATATATTGTGCACGTGTGTTGTCGATATCTATCTGTGTAATTTCAGCAGCAACCACTTTATTCTGTGTATACAACAAATATAAATCCGAACATTGTAACAACAATACTACCTTTATGTCGTCGCTTTTAATCTTCGACGCCTCGAGTGTTATAACGAAGTCGAGATCGTCTAAAGGCGAACCTTCCATCGAACTCAACTTGTACAAAATTCGGTCTTCGATCTCTTTAAGTTCCTGCTTCATTTGAGTACTACCTACGATAAGTTGGCTTCTTTGGTCTTCCAAATCCGGGCGTTCTTGCATCACGACTAACGCTAGTAGTTGGTCTTGTAACCCGCTGGGTACTAGCGTAAAATTGACCAAAAGTACCTTCACGGACACCTCTGGAGTATAATGGGGGTTAGGTAGCTTCGTTGTCATATATAAGCGAAAATCGTCGTCGTAAGGTACCACCACGTCCCCCAGCTTCAGCATCCACGTCCCAGCCTGTTTAAATTTCTGACGCAACAAAACCGGATCTAGAGCCGGATCTAAATCTACCCCGATCCCTTCCACCAAAACAGGCTTGCCGAACCTCACAGCCGACTCCAAGTTCCTCTGCAGTTCCTTATCGGCCATTTTGCAAGTGGTCAAACCTTGGCTCTTTTCCGTGTTCTTCACCCACTTGTTAGCTTGTCCCTGTGGGTCGATAAACAAAGGCCAACGTTTCGAATTCGACACCAAAACGGCATTCTCAGTGGAGAAGTAGTCGCGCGGTAAACCGTCCAGTTGCCAGGCTCGGATCTGCACCGGCTCCGCCAAAATAGAAACGGGGTTAGGATCATGAGAACACGGAATCTTTTGTTCTTGGATAGCTTTAAGCCACTCAGACAATAACCCCCGTCTGTACTTGTCAGTGAACGGGGTGAGGTAAGCCACCGCGCCGGCACTTAACAAAATGTCGCCTGTTACATTGACCATGCTACCTTCGATACTTGAAATAGTGTTCAACCACCTGACTCTTTCATCCGACAGACCTGTGATGAGACGAACCGCGCGGCTCATTCTTTCCAGACAAATCTGAATACTAGCTTCCTTTTCTTCGCGGAAGGCGATTTTCGCCGCTAGTTTTTCCTGAAGCGAGCGCAAATTGTCCAACACCGCTTGCATTTTAGCCCTGGCTGCCGCCAGCGCCGCCTCCGTGACCGCCAAGTCTGCCTTAGCCGCCGCCAGGGCCGCCTTCTTCGGCGCCACTCTCTTATTCACGAAATAGTATTTGAACATCGCGTGCACCCACATGCAAAACGACTTGCAGGCCTTCGACACCTTCGCCACCTTCGCCGGCTGGAACTGCGCGTTCGTTACGTAACTCCGCAGCTTCTCGATCATCTCCTCCGTGATCGACTCCTTGTCGAAGTTCATCAGCGACGTCAGGAAGACCCCCGGGTCGCTCAGCATGTTGCGTCCCGGTTCCCAGTAGTCCAGGATCTTCTCTCCCGGCATCTTCCCGGGTAGTTTGTTCGGCTTGATCCCCTTGATTATGCAGATGGACTCGATCACGTAGATCACTCCGGCTGGTGGTCGTTTCATCGATCGCACCTCCGAGATGTCGTTTTTGTTGAGGGACTTGAGGCTGGCTTCGGCCGCTAGCAGATCGGGCATTGCCTCGTCTAGGTCGCGCTGAGCGTCTTCGGCGATGGTTTGGGTGTCGAGGGCTTTCTTGGACGCCTCGATCTCCTCCTTTTCTACTACTTCTTTGGTTTCTTCGGCGACGAGTTGGTCGCGAGCGATTTGCTCTATCATGGTCTCGGCGTCCAGCTTGGCGGCCTCGAGGGCGGGCTTCATCTCCTCGAGGCTGGCTTGGAGGATTTTCACCTCTTCGGCGGTGCTTTGGAGCTTGCCTAAACCTAAGCGGAAAGACGGAGGCAGATAATGAGTTATATTGGATTTAAAGGCGCAGAATAACTTTGTCTTTATATACGCAGTCTTCTTTTCTCAAAAAGAAAAAAAACTTAAAACATGTCTCAAATGGTATTTTTTACGGAAATATGAATTTTGCAATTATGCTCCGCCCTTCGGTCTAACAACAAATGAAAAATTTATCACAATTGAAATCTTTGACTTTTTGTTTACTTAATGCATATAGTTTTTATCTGATCTGTCAAAAGCCATATATATATAGCGTCCATTTATTCACTTAAGACTTTTTTGTGCTATTATAAAATTTAGTTATAGAGGATAACCATGCATACCGGTAGATAATCTCGTGACTCCTTCCGACAACGCCGTCCGTTTCTTTATCATCAAATCTGTATAACTCGAAAGTAGCTCTAGATAAGACGTGGGCGTCACATAATTATGCCTCGAGAGTTCTTGTTTGTATAAAACACTTGCATCGACGACGCTTGCGTGCATGAACTGACAAACCATGACGATGCCTTCGATAGTTCTCCGGTTTAAATTTAACTCAGAAATTTCCTCCAGGAATTGCAACGCGACGGACTACAACAGATTAAAAATTGAAGTTCCACACAAGTTCGAAATCTACCTGCAATGCTGTGTCCGGCCACTCACTGAACCAATCAATCGTGCAACAGTTCACCAGCGCCGGAAACTGCCGCAAACGCGCCCTAAAGATGTCACCTATAGGACTACAAAACCCCTCGCAATCAAACCAACTTTACAAAACCAGCCAGACCTCATCGTCACGACCGTGTGCAGATTGGCCCTCACCGTCTTCTGGTACGCCGCGAACAAATTGGACTTCGTAGCGGTGAGTCCCAATTCTTGGACTACCCCCTTCATCTCCTGGAAGATCTTGTCGAGTTCGTCCGGCTGGTAAATATTGGGCACGTCGCCCGAATTAAGTACGTTGTTCAAATCTTCGAGAAAAGTCTCAGTTTTTATTTGCGTGTCGGAGAACAAGAACACGGTTTCTCGCCGGTAGACTCCCGAGTTTAACATTAGTCCTTTGATGTCGTCGCGCCACTCGAACATTCCGTAGGTTTTGGAGATTTCGATTTGGAAGCAGAAACACTCGGCCATGAAGGTCGCCAGACGCGTCAGACTTTGTCGTCCTGGTGGAGTTATTTTATTAAATTAAGGGGTTAATTAAGGGTCGAGGGCTAATTACCCGACCCGCCGACTCCCAGAAGGAGGGCGTTCCCTAGGGGCTGGCGAATGACGCGGGAAATGCGGCACAGGTGCGAGATGGCGTCCAGGAAAAGGACGAGCTTCATGGGACGGGTTGATTGGTTGTTGTATTCATTGAGGTAGTAGTCGAGGACTTGGGACAGCTTAAATCGAACAAAACTGCGCGTAAGAATTTGCTATCGCGAAAAGGACATTTCAATGAGATCAGAATTGTGAAAGAGGAGCGATTTTTATTTTATTTTGCATCGAATGCGTGTATATTAAGACACTATTTCTGCAATTGTGTACCTTATGAAGCCAGGGTCTGGAAGCTGTCGATAGATACTTCAAAGCAAAGTTAAAACGTCGTAATTGAAATAAATCGACACGCTTCGTACCTATTTAATAGATTTAAAAGAAAATGATGAAAATGTAAATTTTTTTCTTCTTAAAGCTCAACATCATCACTTTTCTTTATCTCGCGAGGGTTAAGGGTCAGTCGAAGAACTTTTCACAATGAAGGAATTAATTCTTACCTTCGTAGTATCCGTGATCTCGTCGTACTCGCGATAGTCCGTCGTGGGGTCGATAAAATCGCCGAAAAACAGTATCTGACTCCCCAAAGCCTGCCCAGAATCCAAATTAAACCTCGTCTTAATTTTCTCCTTCAATAAATCAGCAAACCAATGTCGATCATCGTCGTTAACTAATCGATCTTGGAACACCCGACAGCACTCATGATACCACAGACGCACCAACAAATTAACATTCTTCACCCACAATAACGTCACCCTTCATCCCTACTCACCGCCATTTTCTCCGGATTGAACATGAGCATCCCCTGAAAAATCTTACTCAAGTCCCGCAAATTGAATGTATAATGCGTCTTGGCAGGCGTCGGAAGCAGCTCCCTCAGAATTGTGTTATAAACATTCAGCGTCGCATCCAGAATGGGCGAATACAACCCACCCAGGTCGTTATCAACGGGAATACGATCCATCCAAAATTTCAGTATCGTCCCGAATATTTTCCTCTAAACACACAAACCATTAATCTTAATTCGCCCACTCGACGCTAAATTAATTACTTGACTGTCGTCCTCCATTTCGATGAAAGCCAAGTAATGGAAGTGTCGCAGCAATCGAGCGGTTACCGGGTTCCTGCCGCCCCCGGGAGGACCCATCGCCACACAGAAGTTGGTGTCGATGATACTGCGGAAGTCGCCGATGTTCTTCCGGTCGTACCAACCTTACAAAGTTGTTAGAAATCATTCGGTTCAGTGATTCATTCTTTGTGTCGTGTACCGGAGAAAATGCGACAATATTAATAAATACTCACCACCGAAATCCATCCACTGTCGGATCAGTTCGATGGGAGGCTGCGCCCCGAATACCTCCAGAGCCGGCATATTAAAGTCGTCGATGAAGAAAACCTGACGTTTCAGGACGGGAGGCCCAAAGACTCCTTTACGTCTTCTGTCCAATTTCGCGTCGATCAGATCCTGCGACAATATTAGAAAAAAAATTCCGTTGTAGGAAAATGAGGTCGTTTGAAATAATTGAATGAGGATGGTATCGTAAGGATTCGTTTCTAATTCAGTGAGTATGGTTTGGTATTGCGCGACAACTGTATTTGGAGCACGGGAACGAAGTTCAGAGAAATTTTGTACGTTTGTCATTTACCTGCGTCTGGTTGGCCGAAGTCCTCGCCGAAAAACTCATAAAATCGCAGATAAACTTCTTATGCATACTCCTGCTCAACTTCCCCACCACCGTGAGCGACTTCCCGGTCCCCGTCGGGCCCACACACATCACGTTATCGTAGTTATTCAAAACGATCTCCATCATCTTCGCATTCCTCACGTTATCTATCGTTGGTACTTCGATATCTGGGTAGCTCATGTCGACCGTGATGACGTACTGCTCCACGTTGTCCATCCATCCGTACCACCGCGGCGGCATGGGGTTCCCATCGTCGGTGAGGTCCGTGAACCCCCCGTCATGCAAACAGTAATCGTACACCAGCCCATGTTCCGGGAACTCGGGTCCGTGTTCGAACCCTTTCATCCTGTCACGAATCCAACGGTCCATGATCAGTCGGCTACGATTATCGCAGGTGGCGCCGATGGTCCATATCACCGAAAAAACGACCCACGGTACCAGCAAACCGGCTGAAATGGTACCGTGTATTTCTTGTGAAAAATCGAAAACGACAAAGCGTACGTATTAGTTCTAGGAAAGGGGCGGCTGGGGGAGGTTTGTTGTCGCGCCCCGAGATGGGCGTAAGCCAGTAGTCCATCAGTCGGAGGAATTTGAAAAGGAGGGCGGAGTCCACGGAGGTGAGGATCTCGCGGAGCCGGCTCCGGAGCAGCTCAATTCCGGGGATGACGTAGAAGTTGATGAGTTCTCTGAGGGTTGCGATGTACGGGAACGCCAGCTTCCAAAGTAAATATATTGTTTTTCAATTCAATGGGCGATTTTTCCAACAACGTGAGGTTTATTTTAGGTCGCGAATATATTTCACATATGACGCCGTTGGTTAAATAAATCCTGCATAAATCTGTTCGTTAGTTAGTTTCGAATTTATTTGTGCTACGGAGTTCCATAAATCACTCGGATCGCGCTAAATCATGTGTAATTGTAAAGTGCATCTGAACGGATAACTTGATACCTATGCACGATGATTTGGAAAGCTAACCGGGATTGTCCTGTCGGACTATAAATAAATTTAACAATGTTGTTCGTATGTTCGTAGTGTGAGCTGAATGACGTTTAATAAATTGGAAAACAGTATAATAACCGATATTGTGGAAGCGGAACGTCTGACAGCTTCAAATTAATTACTTTTCCCTTTCATCGAGAGAAATTTAGAGAAATAAGTTCGGAGAAACAAGAGAACCGGGACAGAGACGGACTTGCCACCACCACAATCCATAAATTTCTTCCTAAACGTGCACCATTTTACTTTGATAATAACCCCAATCCTACTTGCTGCGCCAACCGATAAAACTCAAAATCGTAGAAAACCTACACAAGTTTCTCGACCTTCGCTCAAAGAGCGTACTACGACCCTGATTCTTACACGCCTACTTGAGAACAAATTGCCGCCCCCACAGCAATTTCTTACCTGCGGCAACCGCCGCACCCAACAATTAACGAACGGCTCCAATCCCAAAACCGCCGGTTCTAAATAAACCATGCCGCATCTCGAAACGGTGGCGGGCGAGGCGACCGCCAAATCCGCAACCTCGAACATCATCGTCATGGTATCCCGAAGCTTGATGATTTCCCCGCTACTCAAACACAACTTCTTGTTGTCGTCGAGGACGCTGTTCATGTTCTCGATCCAGATGGCGTCGACGGGACCGTCAAAAATGTACCAACGTTTCTCGGGACTCTCGGCGGCGACGCCGATGCGCACCAGGCACGGGAGGATCCCGTCCGTCCTGAGGGACAAAGGGTCACTTAAAAAAACAAGGACCTCGGAGAAGTTACCATTCGTGGGTCTGCAAATCGAATTCGCCGTACAGCTGACCCATGGTGATGGACTTGGGGTTGAGAACGTAGCTGTAGACCGTCCGGAAGGGCTGGCCGCTGGGCTGGGGCTCGCCCTCGAGGGAAGTCATGGCGGCCTTGAGTACCTCGTAGCACTAGACAAACATGCTAGTTGTATAATTACGTAAACGCCACCGTTCTTAGTCTAAAAGGTGCCCTACAGAATAAAATACTTTATGTACGGAATTATTATTATCGCTTGAAAACTTCCTCGTCCGCTTCTGCGAGCAATTCGCGCGAGAACGCCGCCCCCCGCCGCACGCACCTGCCGCATGTTGCCCGTCGCCGCCGCACGAGCGTGCGGCAGTTAGTGCGCGTCGCGACGTCGTGCACGATGCGCCACCTCCTGCAGCTCGCCGGCAACTTGTCCGGCGAGTTCGTCAACTCCACGTTCCCCCACGGCTACTACTGCGGCGCCTTCTTCTCGTACCTGCGCCTCCTCCACACTTACTACATTCCGGTGATCATCGGCGTCGGCTTCGTTGGCAACCTGCTCTCGTGCGTGGTGTTCTTGAGCAGCCACCTGAAGATGCGTAGTTCGAGCTGCTACCTGGCGGCGCTGGCCGCCGCCGACTTCGGCTTCCTGTGCGTCGTGCTGGTGGTGCACTGCAGCTTCAACGACGTCTTCGACTTGTATAACACGGACGGCTGGTGCCAGTTCTTCGTCTATGTGAGCTCGGTGTGCGCCTCGTTGAGCGTCTGGCTGATCGTGGCCTTCACGGTGGAGAGGTTCATAGCGGTGCAGTGGCCGCTGCAGAGGCCGCACATCTGCACGGTGTCCAGGGCGAAGGCGGTGGTGCTGGGGCTGACGGCGCTGGCGATGGTGTCGCAGGTAGTGGCGGTTTTACGAAGGTTGTTTTCGTTATGGAAACCACGAGTTCAAAATTTTTCAAAAATGAAGCGTTTTGGCTCAAAAGCCACTACAAAAGTGGCGGGATTAGCAATTTGAAAATTATGAAAGTATGGGGTGATATTTTCTTCTCGATTGATCTGTAGGCACATAACTGCCAAACTATTTTTGTTTACAATCATAACTGTAAAGATTTAGTATCAACAAATGTGGCCAATTATTTTTTCCTGATGTTTTTTACTTTCTACGATGCGACGCAAAAGAATCGAATGCTTGTTATTCTTCAGTTCGTAAGAAAAAAACTGAAGGTTTCACGTTTCCGTCTGTCCGTTTCTACGCCATTTTTTAGCAATTTTATTAAAGACATTGAAATACCAATTGATGTTTGATCATATTAAAAAAATTTGACGTAATATTAAAATATTTTTAAGGAAAATTATTCCAAATACCTGTCTGCTTGAATCTGTGGTTTACCAATACTTCTATTTTTTTAACGCTACGTATGCGATTTCAGTCTTGACCATAAAATATTGTAAAATTTTTACTTCCGAGCGTAACCTTAGGAAGTATTGTAATCGAGTCCATCGGGCGATTGGCTACATTCTTATTTTTCAGACGTTTCATGACACCTAGAGTCTGTCTGTCTGTCTCTCTGCCGTGTGTTTGGAGTTTATTAGTAAGATAATCTTCGAAACTACCGGACCGATTATTGTCAAATTTTGTACGTATGTTAGAAATGTTATGTATGTGATAAAACGCTAACCAAAATTTGTTTGCTCACCCCCACCAATAATGGAATGACGTTATCTGCAAATTTTACAACAATAAATGTTATTTAACTCTTATAAAATAACGTACTCCTCCATTTGTGGTTTATGAATCTGTGTTTTTACTTTAGGCATATAGATTCTTGAAAAAAAATAAAAATTAAAGATGTATAACAACTTTTCGAATTTTTTATTTTTCGGCTTTTCGATTTCTCGACTTTATAACTTTCGAATTTTCCATTTCTCGATATTTTAAAATTTTTATTTTTTCGAGTTTCTAAATTTGAGATTATTCAATTTTTTGAATTCGCCATTTTTTGATTCTTTAATTTTACAATTTTTTAAATTTTAGATTTTTCGATTTCTCGGTTTCTACATTTTTCTCAATTTCACGATTGTTCGTTGTTTCGATTTTTCGATATTTCTATTTTTCAGTTTGTCGAATTTATAAATTTTTGATTTTCCAGTTTATTGATTTTTTAGGTTTTTTTACATTTTGTTTTAAATCTTACATTTTTCGAGTTTTGATTTTCTAATTTTTTGATTTTTTAAATTTTCGATTTTTTGCGACTTCGATTATTTGACTTCTAGATTTTTCAGTTTTTTTTACTTTTTGGACTCTTTGTTGATATTTTAATTTTTAATTTTTAAAAATTTTCAGTTTTTCGAAATTTTAAATTTTAAACATTTCAGTTTTTCTATTTTTAACTTTTCGATTTTCGCCTATTTCGAATTCTCGATCTTATGATGTTTCATTACATGAATTTTTCAATTTCTTCATTTTTCAGTTTTTCGATTTTTCGATTATTCGATTTTTTAAATTTTGGATTTTTTGATTTCTCGTTTTTGAATTTTAGGTTTTTCGACTTTTGAATTTTTAATTTTCTAATTTTTCACTTTTTCGATATTTTGATGTTTCGATTTCTCGATTATTCAGTTTTTCAATTCCTCAATTTTTCAGTTTTTTAAATTTTAGATTTTTCGATTTCTCGATTTTTCGATTTTTCAGTTTGTCGAATTTACGATTTTTTTATTCGATTACTTGACAGCAAGATTTTCCGATTAAAATTTTTTTTTTACTTTTCAGTTTTTAGATTTCTGTTTTCCAAGTTCTTGGAAGCTATTTGGAATTTGCTGGATTTGTTGGCCCGCACTTCAAGGACGAGGGAAGTTCTGTCGAAATAACCTGTCACCAACTTTAACAAAAGCTGCCTTGATTAAAACTTATTTCTTATCCACTTCAACAACTTCATGACGTTATCTCAAACATTCATTAAGTCTTCATTAATACTTCCATCATATTGAACACTGCTGTAGGTACTATTTTTCATCAAATAATGATAACATTTGTAAATTTCCAAATTTATGTTTCTAAATCAAAATTTAGAATCGTGATTAAATTTTAACCGAAACTCGATAGAAGTTTACAGCATCAGCCAAACACGGTTGTACATTATATTTTTTCTACGACCACCAGTTTATCGATCCAGTGCTTGGTTAAAGAAGGAATTTAATCACCAGTGGCACAAAAATATTTAGTTACGGTATTATTTTGAAAAACTTTTGAATTCGTTGGTTTTTCAAAATAAATTAACAAGAATTGTCAAAAAGCAACTTTTAAAGACCTGAAGATGGCCAATTAATTGGCTGAAAGGGCTCGCCAAAAGTCACAATCGCGATTTAAATAACACACACAATTCCTCGCAGGTGTACCTATTCTGGATCGCCGGGGTCATCCAGAAGGAAGACGATAAACCCGAATGCGAAATGAGGCCTACCTATTTCGAGTTTATGAAGATAGTTAATTTCGTGGACACCGTGGCGACGTTGATCGTGCCCTTTGTGCTCATCGTTACGATGAATATGATGATTGGAAGAAATTTGTTGTTGTTTAGGAGGCGGCTCCAGGCGAGCTCGATTGACGAGTATCTGGACACAGAAACGGACAAAACGGAGTTGCAGCACTCGAACGCCCAGGTAAATAATAACTAATCTCTGCGATTATTTGAGCGGAAACTCGATTAAAGAACTCCGAGAGTGAGTTTATCGTTGTGGATTTGTGCAGAGTTTATACGAGGAAGTTACTAATGCTGTATACATGTCGTACTTAATGGTAAACAGGAGTCATACAATTTAGCCAAAAATAACAAATTTCGTTGTGTAAGAGGTGTTAGTCAAGTTTAGGGTCGTTTATTTGCGTTCGAAGTGGTAATAAACATGGGTTAAAAGTACTATTGACGTTTCCAGTTTGAAATGTTTGGGGCGTTTTAGGTTCGAACTTGTGGGTTGTTTGAAATGTCATCATAATATAAAAACCCAACACACTATCTAATGCAATCTAATCTGATTCTTGATCGGATGGTAAACAAATTGATTATTTCCTGTACACACAGCGGAGATCACATCTGTTCAACTCCATCACGACTTCACGAGTGTGATGGATTCTTTTCTCATAGTTATGGTAGTTGGTGACAGCTGAGCATTTGTTGCGATATAAACTGTCCTCATTTTCGCTACGTCCGTGAAAGTCTACCGCCCTAACGAAGTCAATCCCATCAAAGCCTTTTACGAGTTCAGTCCTCTAAAATTGATCTCAATTTTCTCAATAAAACTCGGTAATACTTCGCTTTTCCACAAATCAAATTTACTCGAAATTCAATCAAAAGTAGCTTCGTCTTTGTCAGTGTTCATCACAAAGCTTATTTCAAGTGCGATCCTTTTGTAAGTAATACGCGTCTAAAAGATTTACTCCGGACCGTAAATATTTACACTAATAAATGGCCGTGGCGATTTTACCATCAAAAGTTAACGTGTTTGCGCAAGGACCAACTTCCCAAATTGATTCAAAACAAAGAGCAGCGGCGCGTGAATTTTTTTCGCCCAAACTCCGGAGATTATTACTTAATGTAACAGAAAATCCGGCGCTAATCCGCCCCTTGTCACCATCGCGTCGTAAATTTGATACACTAATAATCGCCAAAGTAAATTCCGAGGCTTAATGTCGTTTTTACGATATCTATTAATGAACGGAATATTCACACACAGTGGGTTGAAGTAATTTTTTAGTAACAATTTAGTCGACGAGGCGGCGGTCGAGTGGCCGATTCGTCCGAGCAAATTAAATTTCTCGATTTAAATCTGCGTTCATGTGACGCACCCTTCCAATTTTCTTATCGATTTTTACCCCCCCGCGAACCGTCCATCAATTCGACATCGAATTAGTCGGCTGTTTTGAATGCCCGCGACGTAGGTGTAAAGGATGATTAATCAACCAGCATTACAAGGACTAGTTTATTTTTTTCGATCGGAATCGTACGGGTTCCGGAAAAAAAGCCATTTTTCCGTGTTGTTTTGCGCGCTTTTATTATCAAATCACATTTTGTTTGCGTTGTATTAAAATTAGAATCTTTTAAACACTTCGCGGATTGTTGAGAGTTTACGCAGCAAAAATTGATACGAATATCCGTTTGATTTATGTGGTGAGTCATGGGAATGGTGATTTTGTGAGCAGTTTTGTTGTGACTAGGAGCTAATTGCTTAGTGGAAGTTGGGGCAAGTTTAATCATAAAGTTAAGCCGAGATTAACTCGTGAAGTCGAGTAGGTTTTTATTAAGGGATAATTTAGAAAAAGGGGCAAGTTTAGAGTAACAGAATCGCTTATAAACACATGCTGTTAAGTGACAAATATTTCTGTGTCTAGTCCGACCAACAACATGTTTGTGTCACTCGCAGTCATACCAACTGAATAACTGAATAGAACAAAACGCTGCACTCCTGCAAAGGATGTATAATTAACTCCTTTTTAAAACTAAGCGATCCTGCGTCTAATATCGTCGCAATCTTTGCCCTCAAACCTAAAAGCTCATTATGTGCGAAAAGCTCTCGTCGGACAAAAGCTCCGACAAGTCTTTTAAAATGTAGATTATTGCAAATACGCCCGGAATTTTAACGAGCTCTCGTCATTTTTGTGCCCCTTATCGCGAAAGCTCAAGCTGCCTAAACCGCGCCAACTTTTCAATAATCCTAATCGCCGTCGGTACTCACGCGTAATTACACGAGTGCATTTTTACATAAAATGCGGCCATATGGATGTGACGCTATTTATCAGTCGAAACAACACTCTACTAATGGAAAAACACGTTAACGTCACGACCCAGAAAAACGCTAAGAAATGTGCTTTATTTTCCAGAGCGGAAGTTCCAACAGACGGCAGGGCTCCCAGCAATCCCACATCTCGCAAAAATCCAATCCGTGGCGGTCCATCAAGAAATTCAACAATAACCAGCTGGAGAGGTGTCCTTGTATACGTGAGTGTTTTCAAGTTTAGTTCGAGTTATTGGAATTTTAGACTCTCGTTATGAAGTGATTAGAGGATAATTGAAGGTAGGACGGTATTGCTTTCTGTAGTTCAAAGCTCGACGATATTTGTTGTGTAACGTGGTGAAGTTTTCAACCAAATATTTGACGGCTCACCGCAGGATATTAAAGCGGAATTTCTGGAGGACGTAATTGTAATAACGTGGCGTCAAATGGAACGTCCACGTACGGTTATTTTATTCGATGCAAGTGGGTGGTCTGATTAAAATTTGCCTAACCGGTGTGTTGATTTTGTTAAATGTGAGTGCTTCGGTGCTTTCTCTTGTATTCGCTACGGTGCTTGCAACACCGGCTGCGTTTTATTGTTTTATGAAATCTATAAAGCATGGATAGTTTGACTCCCGAAAATTTGAAAAATCGAGAAATCGAAAACTTGAAAAATCGAGAAATCTCAAACACCGAAAAGTGGAAAAATGTAAAATTGAGAAATCGGAAAATTAAAAAAAAATTTTAACTCAAAAAATTGAAGAATAGAAATATTGAGAACTAAAAAATGGAACAATCGAGAAATGGAGAAATCTCTAAAATTTAAAAAATTTAAAAATTATAATATCAAAAAAGTGGTGAATCGAAAAATTTTAAACATCGAGAAATCGAAAAACACCAAAAATCTAAAAATTGAAAAACCGATCGGAAGATCCAAAATTTAAAAAACCGGAACAATGGAAAATCAATAAACGGAAAAATCAAAAACTTTAGAATTCAAAAAAATTGAGAAATCGAAAAATCTAGAATTTTAAAAATTCGAAAATTAAAATTTCGAGAAGTTAAAAAATCGAGAAACTGAAACATCGAAAAATCGAAAATTTGAAAAATCCAAAATTTAAAAATCGAAACATCAAAATGTCGAAAAAATCGAAAAGTTGAAAAACCGAGAAATCGAAAAATCTATAATTTAAAAAATCGAAAAACTGAAAATTTAGAAATTGAACAATTTAAAACTCAAATGACGAAAAATTTGAGAATCGAAAAACTGAAAAATCGGGACATCCAAAAATTGAAAAACTGAAACAGGGGAAAACGAAACAAAAATATCGAGAAATCGAGAAATCGAAAAGTCGAAAAATCGAGAACTCGAAAAAATCGAGAAGTTAAAAATTGAAAAATTTTAAATATTATAGAAATCCAGCAATCGAAAAATTCAATAATCGGAAAATCGAAACATCGAAATCTCAATAAATCGGGAACTCGGAAGATTGAAAAATCGAAAAATTTAAAAATTCGAAGAGTTGAAAAACTGAAATATTGAGGAACTGAAAAATCGAGAAATTAGAAAATCTAAAGTTTTCAAAATTGAAAAATTATAATACGTATTGAACAATAATTGTACAATCGAAAAATTGAAAAATTGAGAGTTCAAAACACAAAAAAATCCAAAAATTGAGAAACTGAAAAAACTAAAATTTAAAAATCGAAACATTGAAAAAACGAAGAAAAATTGAAGAATCGAAAAATTGAAAAATCCGAAAACTCAAACATTGAAAAATTGGGAAATCGAATAATTGAAAATCCAACAATCGAAAAATTCCAAATCCTAAAAATCGAAAAACTGAAGAACTGCAAATTCGAAAAATCGAGAAATCGAAAAATCGATTAATCAAAAAATTGAGAAAACGAAAAAATGTAAAAATTGAAGAATCCAAAAATTGAAAAACCCTAAAACTGAAACAACGGAAAATTGAGAAATCGAAAAATAAAAAATCGGGAAATTGGAAATTTTAAAAATCGAGGAATTGAAGAATAAAAAATTTCAAAAATCCCAAAACTATTTTTTTTTTTCAATAGAAAAATTGACTAATCGATAAATTGAAAAATTAAAGAAAAAACTGAAAAATCGCAAAACTGAAATATCGTAAAACTGTTATACCCCTACAATTTTGATTTTTTTTTCCCAAAAATCTTGATGTCTAGGATCAAAACAGACTGACACTCAGACAAACGGAAACGGGAGACTTAAATTGAAACCAACTGGTTTGAGGAAAATAATAGTCTCAATGGAAATTCCCAGTTAAAACTTTTCGCTTGAAACTGACGATTTGAAACGAGCTCTTTGCATGTTTAATAACTGGAAGCACTTCTGCAACAGTTGAAACAGAAAACATGAAGTTGAAAATTAAAATTTACTAATAAACTTGCGGAAATACGAAATGAAACTCTTATTAAACAAAGAGTTCAACTTTTGCATGGATATTATACCTCAAGTTTGCAGCGTATATTATTATTTTAATATTTATTATATCCATACATCATTTGTTACGTTTACACTGTCGGCACTGTGCGTAATAATTATAAAATATGTATTCTTGTTGAACAGATCGGATGTTATCGGAGTTAATTCCCCTTAAGAAAACAAACTAACTAACAAATAAATAAAACAAATAAAATCTAAATTTGTACAAGTCTGTAAACCCCATTAACGTTCTCCTTTCTTTCAGATATAAAAATGTCCGCTCGGAACGTGGCGTCCGCGAAAAGCCAGCAGAACATAACCAAAATGCTTCTTCTGATATCTTCTGTGTTCGTAGCACTCAACTCACCCAGGTGGGTGTCACCTAATCACCGAAATTACCACCAAACCCCTCATTTAATTGCCAATCCGATAATTATCCAAAGCGGCATCAAAACGAAACCTGAACCTCTCATCCCATCATCATCATCCTCGATTTTTATGCCCGTGTTTAAATCGAGATGTTTATAAAAGTCTCCAACATCAACATTAGAATATTTGAGATTTTTTCTTACGCAATCACTGTCATTTTCATGAGAAATGTGCGTTTAAATAGAATCGCTTTTTTATAATTCGTAATTTCTCTTTTCCAGTTATGTAATCCGCCTGTCGGTGTATTTCGGTTTCACGCTCCAGGAGAAGGAGCCGCCTGAAACCCTCTACTGCGTACAGCAGTTGGCCATGTTGCTTTATTACACCAACTTCAGCATAAACTTCTTGCTTTACGCCATGTGCGGGGTGACGTTCCGACGTTGTTTATGGCAACTTTTGAGGAGCAACTTGAAGAGATTAGCGGGAACACCGTTTTATAGTAAATGGTAAGACAACAATCTGGTTGAGATGGCTGTAGTGCTTTTACAAAACGTCGCCCGGAATTATAAACTGCGACGCAAGTTAGGGAGTTTTGGTGATCCAATGCGGGTTTCGGGCCACACTGGCGATGTAATCGGTGCTTTCACGGCAAAGATCAAAGGCAAAATGTTGAATCAAAGCCGTTGCACCGATGCGATTCACTTTAATCAGGGTCATATTGTGACCAAATTACCTCAGCTCAGCGACATCGCGGTTTACTTTGCTTTTTACAAATCTAGTGCACGTGTTTTTTTTTCTTACTTCCAGTGGGGATGTTTTAACACTAATAACAAGTTCCTTGTTCATGCTAATCAGTTTGACATTTCTGGTTATTTTTTTTTATGTTTTAAATAAATTAAAAATTAGTCGAAGGTAATTTCAACTGAATTTAGTGGCAGAAACGAAACATCAAAAGAACGAGAAACCGAAAAGTCGAGAAGTCGAAAAATTCAGAAATCCAAATGGCCCAAAATGGAAAAACCGAAAAGTTAAAAAATGATAAATTAAAGAATTTAGAATTAAAAAAAAACGATTAATTGAAAACGATTAATTGAAAAATTGAAAAATAGAAATCTCCATAAATCCAGAAGTCGAAATATTGAAAAATCGAAAAACTAAAAAATTTAAAAACCGAAAAATTGAAAAATCGAAAACCGAGAAATCGAAAAATCAAAAATTTAAAAAATCGACAAATTGAAGAATCGAAAAACTGAAAAATAGACAAATTGAAAAATTTCAAAACTGAAATGACGAAAAATTGGGAAATCGAAAAACTGAAAAACTCGAACTTCAAAAATTGAAAAATCGAACGATAGAGAAATTGGAACATAAAAAATGAAAAATCTAATATTCGAAAAACTGAAATATAGAAATATCAAAGAAATGAAAAATTGGGAAATTCAAAAATCTAACATTTTAAAAATTAAAAAAAAAGTCGAGAAATTAAGTCGAGAATTCGAAAAAATCAGAAAGTTAAAAATTGAAAAACTGTAAAATTTGAAATTAAAAACAATTTTAAATCCAAAAATGGAAAAATTGAAATTCCGAAATCTCTATAAATCGAGAACTCGAAAAATTGAAAAATCGAAAAATTTAAAAACCGGAAACTTGAATCGAAAAATCAAAAATTTTAAAAATCGAAAAATTGTAAGATCAAGAAACCGAAACATTAAAAAACTGAAAAATCTAAAATTTAAAAATTCGAAAAATTGAAGAATAGAATTGTCGAAGAAGTAAAAAATTAAATCAAGAAACGGAGGAATCTAAAATTTAAAAAAATAAAAATTAAAATATCGAAAAAGTGAAAACGAAAAATTGAAAAATCGAAAAATCTAAAACCGAGAAGTCGAAAAATCGAAAGAACGAGATATTGAAAGATTTAAAAACTGAAAAATATAAAGTTTAAAAATTCGAAAATTTGAAAAATAGAAATATCGAAGAACTGAAAAATCGAAAAATTAAAGAATAGAAATCACAATAAATCGAGACCTCGAAAAATTGGAAATTCGAAAAAGTGAAAGATGGAAAAATTTAAAAACCGTAAAATTGAAAAATCGAAAAATCAATCATAAATTTCAGAAAATAAAAAATTTAAAAAATTCCGAAAATCTAAAACCCACAAATTGAAAAATGGAAATCTCAATAAACCGGGAATTCGAGAGATTGGAAAATCAAAAAATTGAAAGATCGAGAAATAGAAACTTCAAAAAACTGGAAAGTCTAAATGTTTAAAAATTCTAAAATTTGAAAAATGAAAAAATAAAAATCTCAGTAAATCGAGAACTCGAAAGATTGGAAAATCGAAAAAGCGAAAAATGAAAAAATTCTGAAACCAAAACATTGAAAAATCGAAAAATCAAAAGTTTAAAAATTCGAAAATTTCAAAAATATAAATATCGAAGAACTGAAGAGTCAAGAAATCGAAAAATCTAATATTTAAAGAATTGAAGAATCGAAAAATTGAAAAATTGAGAAATCGGGACATTAAAAAATTGAAATATTGAAAAATCTCAAAACTGAAATATCGAAAAATTGAGAAATCGCAGAATTAAAAAAGTGGAAAGTTCCAAAACTGCAGCATCGAAAAATTGAGAAATGAAAAATTTTGGTTAGTGTTTTAGCATCTGCATGATATTCTTAGCATACATATAAAATTTGACAACAATTGGTCCTATAGTTTGGAAGATTATTTGTCTAATAAAAATCCGGGCAGACGGCAGGCAGATATACAGACGGAAACGGGCGACCTACTTTTTCGTACTCTAGGAGTTATGCAATCGCAAAAGACATAAAAATAACCCGATGGCCTCGATTAAAATACTTAGCTTACGCTCGAGAAGTAAAATGTAAAAGTTGTCAAATAACTGCAAAACAAACATTTTTTTTTAATAAATTTCACATCTTACTAGACGACTTTTTATCGATCATATGATGTGGTATTTCTCGAGGGAAACAAATCTAGTCGTCTACACAATGTAACCGTCCAACTATAAGAAAGGTCAATGGCAGATCTTTAAATTTAGCCCCTCACATAGTCAAACTAAACTAAACTTAAGTAGCGACTTTAAAAACGCAAAAGTAAACATAAACTCTTTTAACATCAGGTTACACAAAAACCTGACGCCGACATTTTAAATATAAGCATCAAACTTTTTTTTAATTACGATGATGGAAATGTAAGTATAATAACGACAAACATAAACAGCGTTATTTTTAGGGTCTCCACTTCGCTTGAATGACCAGTTCGGAAAGACCCCTCGCAACTTAGCTTTATTAACATCCCGATTATTATCACTTATCCGTTATGATGATTCAAATCTATTTTTATTTAACACTAGTCCATCGCTTTTTTTCCTTTTCCAGAAAGAACTGACCGAAACCAGAGGGTCCACACCAAGCGTGATCAGCGAAGAATTTTGATATTTTTTAACCTTGTTGAACGTTGAACGTTCCACCACAAAAATGTATGTCCTCGATGTTGGAATAAATGATTTAAAAATTGCTCCCCGACATTCATTATTCACTCGTTTTTATTGACGGAGGCGAGGCGAAACGAATGAATTGCGTAAATAAATTAACGTGGAAAGAATGTTTCTTACATTTTGTACCCTACCTTTGTTTTCCCGGACGCCGTCGGTCCGACTAACATTAATCCATGTCGGACTATTGTGGTCTCGTATAATTGGATTACTTTACGGACGAATTCTGCAATTTAGATTGACAACATATGCGGGATCTCTTGGCTGGATCACTCACCGTCGACGTCCTGCAGGCCCTTCTGGAGGGCACAAGCGCGGATGGATTTCTCGAGGGCCCCGTAGTCGACCGCCTCCTCCACCATCCGGGGAAACAGGTCAGACACGATGCCTGAAAAAAATGATGTAAATAGTCGTCCCCTAATTTTTTTAGATTTCCCATAATAACTTTTTATTATTAACGCTACTTGACAAAGTTGTTAACAAAAGTTGTAGATCATGGTATCACCTATAAAAATGTTCCTTACAATTTTCTTTTTGTCAGACTTACAGTTACGGAGTTAAACGAAAAAATAGTTGCAACCCGATTTTCAAAATAGCAGTTCCTGGTGTGTTGGTCTGTCTTACCATTAAACAGCTTGAGGTCGTCCTTGAGGAACTTGGGCACGTTGACATCTCTCAGCGCTCTCAAACAAATCTGGCTCTCGTGCATATTCGGCTTTTCCCTCTTCAGATTCCCGGCTACCGCGATCACCGTCTTGACCGCCCTCATCCCAAAATCGTAATGATCCTGCGTGCTCAACTGCTCTGAGCTCAACTTAAAAGTCGTCGTGATTTTATTCGCCAGCAACTTGGCGTTACTGAACCCAAACGAGAACAGCGAAATCTCCGAAATCAAGCTATAATCGGGCACCATCATCGACACCGGCCTGAATAGCGCTTTCAAATTATCCGGAAGCTCGGTCCTTCCGGCGTACCCCGGATTCATGGTTATGAAAACCGCGCACGAGTCCTTCAGCACGATCTCCGACCCCTCGAAGATGAAGACGTCCAGTCGCGCTTGTTGCGCCTTCTGGATCGTGGTGATCTGCTGCGCTACTACCGACAGGACTTCGATGTCGATCCGGTTGAACTCGTCGAAGCAGGCCCACGCGCCCGAGCTCGCCAATCCTTTGAAGAACTTCCCCATTGCCATGAAGTCCAGCTGGTCGGAACAGTTGAAGACGACGCACTGCAGCGCCATGGCTTTGGCTAGATCTTTAGTGGTCTCGGTCTTGCCGGTGCCGGCGGGCCCGGCGGGCGCGCCGCCGAACTTGAGGTGGAGGGCGCCGGTGAGGGTGAGGTAGCAGCGGTCGGTGAGCGGCGTGATGACGAGGCGGCCGCTGTTCCCGAGGTACTCGTAGCCGTACTGGAACTCGGCGTTGACGGCGCGCACCTTGAGTTCACCCTCGACCCAGTAGTACCGCAGCTGACTAATCCAATCGAAGTCGTTGATGTTGGTGATGGAAAGATTGACGAGGTTCTGGGTGACGTCGCGGGCGTGCACCTCGATGACGATGAGGGCGGAGAGGACCTCGCGGTGGAGGAACGAAAGGGCGCCCTTGACGAGGCCGCGGAGGGCGTCCAACTAAAAAGAGAAAGTATCTACCGAAAACGTTCCGATAATAAAAATAATCTCCAGCAAGAAGCGGCTTAAATTTTAAGCCCAGAACAAACAACTCGACTTTCCGAACTCATCGATCTCATTTCGAGTATCAATTAGTCAACTTAAATTAACCAAGGACCGGAATCTCTTTTCGCCATAACGACTTGAATTCGAGCAAAAGTAATATTTACATTAACCAGAACAACATCCTGCAGGAACTGGTCTAAAGCGTCGTCGATGATCCCTTTTTCGACCCCCGCTGTCCAGAACGTCTGGCTTCCCGCAATCACTATCTGTCCCGGCCACTCCAGGACCCAATCCGCCCTTGATCGCTCATTTATGGTTTTCAAAGCATTTCCCAGAATAGTCCTGATTGTGTTTCTCATACTCTTTTCAACCAAAAGCAGCCAATGTTCGACGTTCGCAGTAGGATACAACGTCGGGGTTAAGTCGACGCATTCGTCCTCTCCGGAGAACATTTGGGTGATACAAAGGTCCTCCTCGAATTTGAGCTGGAAATACCTTGATTAACAATAGACGAAAACATGTTGTTTTCCTTTCAAAACAAAGAGTTACGCAATGCCAGGTTTATATTTTTTGTAAATATTTAATTTTATTGTTCTTGAAAAAAAAATGTTTTCATGCAACGTTTGTTGTTTACGTCGGTGCAAAACATGGTAAGTAGGACATCGCGATTTGATCGATGGAAAAAAACATGTGACATCTTTAATTCAAAGACGGATATGAAAAAATTGAGAAATCCTGAATACATATTTGTCTAACGTGCTCGATGAAGTTGGACATTTCGTTCGACTGGACGGAAATGAAATTGCCGTCGCGACGCATCAAAATAACAAGGCGAAAGTAATGATGCAATTATATTGAGGTGGATGGCGTTGTTGTGTTGATTGCCAGTGACGGACTAAGGGTGTGGACAAAGATGGGAAACTAATAAATAGTTTCACTTACCCTTGCTATATTTTCGAAACATTTACGCAAATGAGGCTGAACCGCCAACGGATTCTTCGCGTGGGAAAGAATCTCCAACAATTCGTCATCACTAAGAAAGTAGAGACGTGGGAACACCATCCGTTTGGTTTCCAAGTAATCAGTCAGACCTTTCTGAACTATGTCCAGAATATGGTTGGCATCTTTCAAACTCTCGTACAATTTACGATCCGCGCAGTATTTTATAATCTACAAAACTATAATGATCGACGCCAAACCAAACAACAACGAATTTACGTATGGATTATCACGAGCCCCTCTCATAATCCTGCGCCAGGTCCTCTCCATCGAACCGTACTTCTTGCTTTCGGCCGGAAGCTGAACCCTTATATCCTCACTGGTCAGAATAGGCTCCAAATACATCCACTGCCTGTAAAACCCAATGAAACGACTACCTAACCTCCAAAAGTGCATACTTTTGCACGTCCATCCACTCCTCGATCACGTCCGAAGTAGTCTTCAAACTCTCCTCCCATTGATTTATTTCCGCCTCGAACGGTCCCTTAAACGGACTAAAACTGATCTGCTGCGTCAACACCAAGTGGTCATCCAGCATCTGCTGAATATCTTCCGAAATCTTCATAATATAAGTCCCCGTATCTTTATAAGGCGTCAACTCCATCTTACAATTCTGCCACTCTTCCATCATCTTCTCCAAAGTATGCTCCACGTTATACTCCTTGCTCGCCTCGTCCCCGATATCCACCAGCTTGTCAATGTGCTCGGCGATCCCCATGTTCAGACAATCCTGGAAGGTCAAAATCGGCGTCATCACGATGTCCATACCCGTCGCGTCCTTTAGAGCATCCCAGTGCCTTTGGCGCATCCCCGGGTTTCTCAAACTCAACAACAGCGGAATCAATGGCCTGAACTCTTCTATTTGCTCTTTGATTTGAATTGCCACCTCTTGGACGGCTTCGATCTCCGCGAAGACCCGCACCGACTTGACGATCGTCTTGTACATGTCGGTGACGGTGCGTTCGACGCTGTCGCCATCGACGTTTGTCAGAGGGTTGTCCACCCACATTTCGTGCGCGCGGAGCCAGTCGGAAGCGGTGATCCAGAGGGTTTTGTAGGGTTCGAACTCTTTGATTAACTTGGTAAGGTGGTCGAAGGGTACCACCGGAACCCCGAAAAGCTTTTGCCTCTGGTTCAAGAGCTGGCCTTGCTCTTGGGCGTCCTTCAGAGTCTTCCACAGACGTCGCACGTCGACGGCTATCTCGTGCACTTTACTGAAGTCTTTTTGTTTGGACATTTGCACGACTTGGCTGGTTAGAGTTTCGATCTTGTCTTGGAGGGTGTATTCATCGTTGAGTTGGATCTTGTAGAATCGCTCTTCTTCTTCTTTGAGGTACTGCTCGATTAGTTCGATTTCTTTGGTGAGGCGATGCGGCCAACCGACTGCTTCCCACTTGTTTTCGAAGTCTTCTTGGGGGAGGTTGTACCAGAAGTGGTCCAGCACGTCGTACTCCTTTGAGAAAGTTTTTGACAAGAGATAGATTTTTGGTGACAAGAACCACTCACGATTAGATAGCGTCGGACTAAATCCTCCTGGGCTCGTACCATCATGGGTATGGTCTCCATCCAGTCACGCATTTCAAACACAGCTTCTATATTGTCCGGTTTTTCGTTAAGTTTTTCGTAGATTCTGTTATATTCTTCTAACACGTCTAAAAAACACTGCTTCATTCTCGCACAGAACATGTCCAAGAGCTTCGATGCGATGTCTTGGCGTTTATTGATTAAAAAACTGCGAAGCTGCTCTATCGTTACAAAAAACGGTCCGACAATGATAGTCGTCGGTAAGGTAGCTTCCAAATTCGCTTTCATTCTACAATGGAATGAAATTTCCTCCTTCACTTCTGACGCTGTGTGGTTTTCGTCTCTGAATTTCCTGCAAACACCAAATCCTTACAAGCTCTAACTTAAAACCACCTAGCTACTCGACGTATGCTTTGACGTCCAGAACCAGAAGCTCTATGTAGATTTGAAACTCTTTCGCAAACGCTATTAAAGGTATTACGGCTTTGGCGTAGGCGAAGATGAATCTATCCCTCACGCTTACTACCTCCTCTGCCAATAAACCGACGGAAGAAAGAGTCAAGTCTTTGGGGAAATTCAAGTTGGTCAAAAGGAAGGGGTGCACCTGCTTGACTTTGTGGGTTAAAGTCAAACCATTGTCGTACAGTTTGAGCAAAACTTTTGCGAATTGTTCCAAGTTCGTTGAATAAAAGGCACCGTTTTCGTCCATCTTTAACTGCAAAATAAAAATGGCGGATGCTCTAGACACGAAAGGACTGTCGAGTAAATTGGGCCCCCACACGAAGTCGTCTTCCACTTCAAGACAAGGCAAACACGGAGTCTCGACCAAATCTATAAACATTTCAATCGAATTTAAAACTAGGATGCGCAAAGTATACTGCATTCGGTATTTGACCAACTCCATGAAACGACTGAGTTTGGAGATTTGGTAGATGAACGAGTTGTAGACGTTGATGTCGAACCAGCCTTTGCCGACGTCCCTCAGGCACATTCTGATGTTATAAACGATAGTTTCTACCCACTGGACCTGCAGATACTGGATGACCTGAAAGCGTGTGTCAAACTTTGAGGTTTCGGGAGTTTGATGTTACGTTGTTGGTGCACTGGGTTTGAACACCTTCGAATTCGTCAAGGGTTATGTGTTTGATTCCGTAGCTTTTGGTGAAGAGGGACATCTTCTCGACTTTCAGACATTCTCCTACCACTAAGAACATGGCTCGGAAGGTTTCGGGGATGACGTAGATGCTCATCCATTTGAAGTAGTTGGACATTCCTGTAAAGGATTTCATCCCGGTTTTGATTTTCGAGATGACTGAAAATTTAACTAATAGAACGTCGATTTTCAAGAATAAGTGGGAACCTTTGAGGCTCTCCTCCCATTCTTTTGTAGCTAGATTTGTATAATGAAATAATCTGGGGTCTTTTAGTGCGTCTAGTCGAAACTGTAGATCGCAGTGGATTTCTTGATAGCCAAATTGCACTTGTTTCACGAGCTAGAATTTAGTTAAGGTACAAATTGGTCTAATGAGTCTCTCTAAGTACTAACTTGACCCCAAATTGGAATTTCTTCGTCTTTATTTCTAGTCACCAAAACATATATTTTCTGCAAGATCTCGTCTCCAACTTTTGGAATATCCACAAGGAGCATCGTATTCAAATAAAACTTGTATCTATAAAAAAAAAAATCAAACTAATTTCTTCCCGGCGCATCCACCATTTTCCCGCACACAATCGAAACCCCCAGTTCGTAGAAATCCGATCGCAAATTCTTCAAACACGCCACTTCATCCCCTTTTCTGTTTTAATAAGCCACTTAACTTTCGCTTCGCCGCTTCCTCACCTGAGCGTCGCTTCCGCCATGCGCCTATTTTCAACGGCCGCTCTGATCCTCTGGGCGAAATTTGCGGGGTCTTCGGCTTTGAACATGACGTAAATCCGCGGCAATTCGGCCTCTCGCCGTGTACCATCCAGAGTCAATATTTTCCACAGTTTGGTCTCGGGGTCGTAATCCATCACGGCCACGTTCACCCATTGACACAAGTTCGCAAACACGTCGTAAACTTCTGTGAAGTGCTCGATTTCGTGAGGCTCAACAGGTACGAAAGCTTCGCCGGGGAGAGGGTTGCGGGTGCCTTTGATCACGCCGAGCTCCAGCCAGTTCTCGGGGGTCCTTAAAGAGAAAAAAAATGTTTATTCGTTTATTTTAAATTTTGTGACCTGGATAAAATTTTCCCGTTTAAGCCAGAGGTATTTTCGTAATTCTATTTATCCAATAAATGAAAGCAAACAAGTGGCTCCTGATTAAAGCAACCCGAGATGAACGGTCTTAATAAATCGCTGTGAATACCTGCAATCGTACTCCTCGTCGTCAAATAACTGCAGAGGCAGATAGTTCGTGGCTATACCATCCTTAGGGACTTTGTCTGGGTAAAACTGCTGGAGTAACTGCAGCGAAACCATGTCCTCGGGCTTTATCCCGATCGTGTCCAGCAGGATTTTGATACTTTTAGCCTAAATATACAGCGTTGAATTGTCACTAAAACCGTAGTGGAAAAATCGCACCTGGTAGGCTCTCCGCAGTCTTTCGGTCGCCACGGGTCTGGTAACTTCCAAAGGGTAAACTGACAGTTGGAGCTGCACTTTGGGTTTGAAGGTGTCCACGGAGAACTCCTAGAAGGTAAGTTCATCGTTTTATAACGCTACCGTGAGGCGCATTTTTATACTTACGATGAAGTCGTCGTCGTCGAAGGTCATCCATCTTTCAGCATCTTTCAAGTCTAGGTGTCTTTTCGGCGGTCGCAGGCTTTTGATAGTGGGAGCGTGTTTCTCGGTTTTAATTTTCCATAAAAAGTTAGTTCGTTTTGCGCCCCCGTATAGAATTTCCCCTCCATCTTCTCTGTAGTCGACTTCTGTTATTGTTTCAGAGTAATAGCCTCGGCAAGGGTTTTCGACCCTCGCGATTTTCGCTTTCGCTTCTTTTGCATCAGCAATTGAGAGTATATCTACTTTTTCCGGTGGTTGATCCGATTTCTTCATTTTTGTTTGACGTTTGCCAAATCGAGCGCTTGTTTTCTAAGCCTGCTTGAGTTAAAATTTGAGAGCCAATCAGATTTTCGAAATAACGGGAATTTAGTGAGTTTGCTGTCCCAATGAAGTGCTGCTGTTTAAACTTTTGAATGAAGTTTTTTTGTGCGCCTCCGTCATTTTTCATAGCGTTCGTCTTATTCAATTGGGGTAAGAAAATCATCTTTTGGAAGTCTAGATAATCAAACGTGACATTTAAAATATACTATAATATAAGTTAGATTTATTTTGCCGATTGGCATCACTGTTTCATTGTCAGTTTTGTGTCAAATGTGTTTGGAATTTGCAAGTAGTGGAACTGTTTAGTGTGCTGTTTAGGTCGTTGTGGGGTTGTGTGCTAATTATTGACCTCCGAAAATATGTTTGGGAGTATGAGAGTGTATTATTAATTATTATGCTAAACGAAAAACTAAAATAAAATTTGGACAAGGACAAGGCGTGCGAAGCATTAATTGATTAATTAATTTTTTTGAGTCACCCTGTATATGCAAATAAAAAAAAATATGAATGGAGTGATAGATCACAAGTACAGACTCATCATATTTTGTACATTTTAGATATGATTTATTCTGCAAATTTTTGAGGTGACGTCATCAAGTTTTTGGAGGGGATAACCAAATATATTGTGACTAAAGATTTATGATGTTCTTTATAGCCTTAAAACATTTGCAACATTTCAAAGCATTCGGGTAAGCAGATTCAAAATTAAATTTCAAAATGTTGTTTTATAATTTTGATTTTTTTTCCAAAAATCTGGACGTTTCGGGTGAAAACTCAATTCGGAATTGTAAACTACATGTATAGTAATATGTTATTTTATACAATTTAAAACCCATTTACTATGTACAATTTTGAAGTGACGTCATCGCATTAGTGGTGGGGATGGTTAGACAAATTTTGGTTAGCGTTTTACCATCTACATGATATTGCTAATATACGTACAAAATTTCACAACAATCGGTCCAGTACTGTCGGAGAATATGTCTAATAAAAATCCGGGACGGCAGAAGGACAGACGGACAGACGGACAGACGGACGGACAGACGGACAGACGGACGGACAGACGGACAGACAGACGGAAATGGGGGACCTATTTCTTCGTATTCTAGGAGTCATGAAAGATCGAGAAAACATAAAAGTAGAGAGTCGGCCGACGGACTCGATTACAATACTTCCTTTGCTTACGCTCGGGAAGTAAAAATATTGGGTGTCGATTGTCACGGAGCAACATTTTTGAAAGAATCGATTCGATATGCGAATTTTTGAGATATTCAAAAAATTTCAATATTTCAAAGGACGATTCCGGAAAAACGGTTGCAGTTATCAAAGAATCGAGGGCGGAAGTGAGTTCTAGAGCTCGAAATCTACCAGAAAATGTATTCAGTTAAGTTTCGAAAATGTCAAAATTTGTCCGAAATTTGAAGAAGGGGGGAACCACTGGGAAAAATTTCACTTTTAAAATAGTCGTCTAAAAATTCTGAAAAATTTCAGGGACGTAGATTTCGACACGCTGATTACAAAAATATTGGGTGTCGATTGTCACGGAGCAACATTTTAGAAAGAATCGATTCGAAATGCGAATTTTTGAGATTTTCTAAAAATTTCGATATTTCAATGGACGATTCCGGAAGAACGGTTGCAGCTATCAAAGAATCGAGGCCGGAAATGAGTTCTAGAACTCGAAATCTACAAGAAAATTTACTCAGTTAGGTTTCGAAAATGTCAAAATTTCGGCGAAATTTGAAGAAGGGGGGACCATTGGAAAATTTTCACTTTTGAAAAAGTCGTCTAAAAATTCTGAAAAAATTCAGGGACGTAGATCTCGACGTGCTGATTCCAAAGATATGGCCTGTTGATGGTCGCGGAGCGACATTTTCGTAAAAATCGGTACGAAATGCCCAATTTATCGAATTTTCAAAAATTTCGATATTTCAACCGTCGATTCTGGAAAAACGGTTGCAGCTATCAAAGAATCGAGGCCGGAAGTGAGTTCTAGAGCTCGAAATCTACAAGAAAATGTACTCAGTTAGGTTTCGAAAATGTCAAAATTTGGCCGAAATTTGAAGAAGGGGGGACCATTGGAAAATTTTCACTTTTGAAAAAGTCGTTTAAAAATTCTGAAAAAATTCAGGGACGTAGATCTCGACGTGCTGATTCCAAAAATATAGGCTGTTGATGGTCGCGCAGCGACATTTTCGAAAAAATCGGTACGAAATGCCTAATTTATCGAATTTTCAAAAATTTCGATATTTCAACCGTCGATTCTGGAAAAACGGTTGCAGCTATCAAAGAATCGAAGCCGGAAGTGAATTCTAGAGCTCGAAATCTACAAGAAAATGTACTCAGTTAGGTTTCGAAAATGTCAAAATTTCGGCGAAATTTGAAGAAGGGGGGACCATTGGAAAATTTTCACTTTTGAAAAAATCGTTTAAAAATTCTGAAAAAATTCAGGGACGTAGATCTTGACGTGCTGATTCCAAAAATATAGGCTGTTGATGGTCACGGAGCGACATTTTCGAAAAAATCGGTACGAAATGCCTAATTTATCAAATTTTCAAAAATTTCGATATTTCAACCGTCGATTCTGGAAAAACGGTTGCAGCTATCAAAGAATCGAGGCCGGAAGTGAGTTCTAGAGCTCGAAATCTACAAGAAAATGTACTCAGTTAGGTTTCGAAAATGTCAAAATTTCGGCGAAATTTGAAGAAGGGGGGACCATTGGAAAATTTTCACTTTTGAAAAAGTCGTTTAAAAATTCTGAAAAAATTCAGTGACGTAGATCTCGACGTGCTGATTCCAAAAATATAGGCTGTTGATGGTCGCGGAGCGACATTTTCGAAAAAATCGGTACGAAATGCCTAATTTATCGAATTTTCAAAAATTTCGATATTTCAACCGTCGATTCTGGAAAAACGGTTGCAGCTATCAAAGAATCGAGGCCGGAAGTGAGTTCTAGAGCTCGAAATCTACAAGAAAATGTACTCAGTTAGGTTTCGAAAATGTCAAAATTTCGGCGAAATTTGAAGAAGGGGGGACCATTGGAAAATTTTCACTTTTGAAAAAGTCGCTTAAAAATTCTGAAAAAATTCAGGGACGTAGATCTCGACGTGCTGATTTCAAAAATATAGGCTGTTGATGGTCGCGGAGCGACATTTTCGAAAAAATCGGTACGAAATACCTAATTTATCGAATTTTCAAAAATTTCGATATTTCAACCGTCGATTCTGGAAAAACGGTTGCAGCTATCAAAGAATCGAGGCCGGAAGTGAGTTCTAGAGCTCGAAATCTACAAGAAAATGTACTCAGTTAGGTTTCGAAAATGTCAAAATTTCGGCGAAATTTGAAGAAGGGGGGACCATTGGAAAATTTTCACTTTTGTAAAAGTCGTTTAAAAATTCTGAAAAAATTCAGGGACGTAGATCTCGACGTGCTGATTCCAAAAATATAGGCTGTTGATGGTCGCGGAGCGACATTTTCGAAAAAATCGGTACGAAATGCCTAATTTATCGAATTTTCAAAAATTTCGATATTTCAACCGTCGATTCTGGAAAAACGGTTGCAGCTATCAAAGAATCGAGGCCGGAAGTGAGTTCTAGAGCTCGAAATCTACAAGAAAATGTACTCAGTTAGGTTTCGAAAATGTCAAAATTTCGGCGAAATTTGAAGAAGGGGGGACCATTGGAAAATTTTCACTTTTGAAAAAGTCGTTTCAAAATTCTGAAAAAATTCAGGGACGTAGATCTCGACGTGCTGATTCCAAAAATATAGGCTGTTGATGGTCGCGGAGCGACATTTTCGAAAAAATCGGTACGAAATGCCTAATTTATCGAATTTTCAAAAATTTCGATATTTCAACCGTCGATTCTGGAAAAACGGTTGCAGCTATCAAAGAATCGAGGCCGGAAGTGAGTTCTAGAGCTCGAAATCTACAAGAAAATGTACTCAGTTAGGTTTCGAAAATGTCAAAATTTCGGCGAAATTTGAAGAAGGGGGGACCATTGGAAAATTTTCACTTTTGAAAAAGTCGTTTAAAAATTCTGAAAAAATTCAGTGACGTAGATCTCGACGTGCTGATTCCAAAAATATAGGCTGTTGATGGTCGCGGAGCGACATTTTCGAAAAAATCGGTACGAAATGCCTAATTTATCAAATTTTCAAAAATTTCGATATTTCAACCGTCGATTCTGGAAAAACGGTTGCAGCTATCAAAGAATCGAGGCCGGAAGTGAGTTCTAGAGCTCGAAATCTACAAGAAAATGTACTCAGTTAGGTTTCGAAAATGTCAAAATTTGGCCGAAATTTGAAGAAGGGGGGACCATTGGAAAATTTTCACTTTTGAAAAAGTCGTTTAAAAATTCTGAAAAAATTCAGGGACGTAGATCTCGACGTGCTGATTCCAAAAATATAGGCTGTTGATGGTCGCGCAGCGATATTTTCGAAAAAATCGGTACGAAATGCCTAATTTATCGAATTTTCAAAAATTTCGATATTTCAACCGTCGATTCTGGAAAAACGGTTGCAGCTATCAAAGAATCGAAGCCGGAAGTGAATTCTAGAGCTCGAAATCTACAAGAAAATGTACTCAGTTAGGTTTCGAAAATGTCAAAATTTCGGCGAAATTTGAAGAAGGGGGGACCATTGGAAAATTTTCACTTTTGAAAAAATCGTTTAAAAATTCTGAAAAAATTCAGGGACGTAGATCTTGACGTGCTGATTCCAAAAATATAGGCTGTTGATGGTCACGGAGCGACATTTTCGAAAAAATCGGTACGAAATGCCTAATTTATCGAATTTTCAAAAATTTCGATATTTCAACCGTCGATTCTGGAAAAACGGTTGCAGCTATCAAAGAATCGAGGCCGGAAGTGAGTTCTAGAGCTCGAAATCTACAAGAAAATGTACTCAGTTAGGTTTCGAAAATGTCAAATTTTGGCCGAAATTTG